TGGTGCGGCTGTCTTCACGAAGCGGAGGCTTCGATTTGCTACCGAAACTGGTAGCGGAGCCTTTGTGCTCCTGGCTCCTGGGTCGAAGGGCCCACACACACGCTACCACTGCCTTGACTCCCTCGATTACACGAGCGGCTGCTTGGCACCTCCCTGTGGCTTGGTTTCGTTCCTTTAAGGTTGCGGCCATCCTGGTGTTCTTCCTGGTCTGGTTTGGTCCACCTTCGTGTTTGACGACCTCTGTGTCCCTGTCTACCTCATCACGTAGGGTGCCTCCTCCCTCCTTGGCTATGACGACCGTGACGGCCAAGGATGTCTATGTGTCTTGGAATGGCGATCTGAATACTTGGCCAGATTTCGTTCGAAAGGTGAGACTCCAGTATGAGAAGACGCAGCCAAGCAAACGCTACTTGCTTGGCCCAGAGCTTGTGAGTCGCTTGACGGACAAGGCTTGGCAGGCTTCGTACGAGATCGACCATGACCGCCTTTCTGGACGCCATGGAGTGAAGTACATGCTCAGCTTCCTTCGTGACAAGCTCTGCCGTGCACCGGTCCCCGATGCAGGGGCCCGCCTCGAGGATCTACTGATCCGACTCCGTCGACAGCGCGGTACTCCTTTTGCTCAATGGGCTCATGAGGTGAGAGAACACTACCGACGACTTCAACGTGCCCTTCTCCGAGCTCGACAAGAAGCCCAACCTAAGGAGACCTCCATGAAGAAGAGCTCAAAAGGAAACTCCAAAAAGAGCCATGGTTCAACAGCCACTGAACCGGAACCTCGACCTTCATCCACTGGCAGTGACCACTCGCCTTCGAGGAGTGTCCGTAGTCGAGAACCTGCCATCCCGGAAGATGAGGAGCAAGAAGAAGAAGAAGGAGAAGAAGATGAAGTGGACGATGGCTCTCCTTCCAACCGTGGTGGCTGGAACACTTGGTGGCAATGGGGCAATCAGTGGACTGCTGAAGAGTGGAATGAGTGGCTTGGCAAGAAGAAGAAGCATGATGGCTCTGACTCCTGGTCTGCCTACGCTGAGGACGATGAGGACATGAATGCGCCCTGGGACGAGCTCGAAGTGAACGATGCTGAAGTTCTTCCTGATGAAGTGTTAGGATGGATCTTGCTTCGACGAGCTGGATTGTCCACTCAGAGCCGACTCTCGGTTCAGGCCTCAGTTGGGAACAGCCTCAAGTTTGAAGCAATTGAACGTGCTCTTCGTGACCAAGAAGAAGAACTTCTCGCAGCTGAACGACGACCAGTTGGTGGAAAAGGGCATGGGTATAAGGGTTCAGCTCCAAGGAGAACGTTCTGGGTTGAACAGGATCGAGAATGGGGATTGCTGGATGGTGAACCTGATGAAGAATTACAAGTTCACTGGGTTGGCCACAAGCTTCCCGATGACGTTTACCAGCATCCCGCTCCGGTCCATGAACCTATGCCTGAGGAAGAAGAGACCTATTGGGGTAGTGCTTCATGGGATGATGGTTCCTGGACTACCTCTTCGGCATGGTGGAATGACACCGAGGCTGAGTTTGAGTTCTCACCGGAAGAGCAGAAGCAGATTGATGAGGTCTATGCGGCCTATGAAGACAAGGTGAGGACTTTCGTGCAGGCCAGAAACCTGATGAAGAGCAAGACCAACAACCGAGGCTTCTTCCCGATGGTGAAAGGCAAGTTCTCCAAGGGCAAGGGCTCTTTCAAAGGAAAGCAAAAGGGGGGACCGTCTCCCGTGATGGCTGCCTCCTCCTTTCAAGGCAGCTCAAGCCCTGGCAAGGGACGACAACGTCCAGGTGAACCTGACTATACGGGATGCTTCA